TATATATATATATTATATATTTTCAGTTTGGGACGCAGTGTCAGTGTCCCACACAGACAGTGATAACAAAAATGTGGAGGAGAGAGATTGAAACAAATACTGTACAATGATGTTGAGGCTCATCAGCAATAAGCATCTTCTGTTGCAGTTTGGATATTCTGAGCCCAAGAAAGCAGGAAATAGACGTTTTCAAATTCTTTTTCAGAAAATGTACAAAGATGAAGCAGATAAGATGCTCTGTAACTATTCTGCTGTCCCAGACACTCCAGAGATGGAGAGGATAAAAAGTACTCAGAAAAACATCAGTTCAGTGAGTAATAGTGCTTCTCTCTTTGCTTGCAACTTTTCAGATATTTTTCAGTTTAAATAGGCTCTCTTGTGCTGCAGCATGAAATAGGGAACTTATGAGTAGATGTCCTTTGAACGATTTGCATAATTTTCCTGGCAAAAGCTGTATCACTCATTTCTTTCAGTAAAAAAATACGCAGCTTTTCTAGGTGTGACACTGTTATTTTGAATCGCTAAACCACTTATACCACCTTGCCAAGCCACAGTTATTTTTAAATGAAGAGCTTTTTTCTTTTTCCATCAAGCCCCAGGAAGCACTTTATTTAAAAGGACAAAAAAATCTAAGGCTTGTTACTATGCGTATAAGATTTTTCATCTGTTTCCTATCATATGTACAGAACGTCAAGATTTGGGTATAAAATTAGAACAGATCAGGTTTCATAAATAAATATGTCTAATGATTTTATGTTATACTGGATATATTTTTTAATTTTATGCTCAACTTAAGTTTCAGTTTATCCCTAAATATAAATTATGAGCTTAGATTTCTAAAATTGCCCAGTTTGGGATGCATTCATTTCCATTTCCTTTTTGGGCCCATTAGTTCTCCTGTTTGTAATTCTGGCTTTGCTTGTAATATAACAGAGAAGAGGAGTAAATATAGCTTCCGGAACCAAAGGTTGTCCAGTTAGTGTCTGTTTTTTATGGCAGACTGAGTAATCCTAATAAAGCCAATGATTTGAGAGAAAGGAATATGAGTTACTTAAATATTTCAGTATTATCCAACACAGATGTTCTTTAACTTCGAGATGCTCTCAGCTTCTCCAGCTCTGCACGAGTACAAGGTCAGTTTGTCTCAGAGGTGTTCACCTGCAGCTATCCCGTATCACTGCAGCTTCACTAGGGCAGTAAGAGCCTGTGGGGAGAGGGGAGAAGAAAAGTCTCTGAGCCTGCTCTAGGCAGCGGTCTCTCCTGTAACGTCTTCCAGCCATTACCTGCCCCTTTTCTTCCTTCAAATGCGAGCAGCTGAAAGCTACATCTTTCTAATAGGAGCTGTTGACAGGCCCGCTGGCCCCAATTTTATTTCTTGTAATCTGTTGCCTCTTGATTTTGAAAGGTGCCCTGCTGCACGGCGTAATGGTGATTAGCACCATATCTCGTGTCACTGGCATCCTAACATGCTACGCCAAAATTCTGTGTAACAGAGGGGATCCAAGCTAGCATCTACTGATCTGCTTTCCTCCCTGCTCCAGTCTTTGATAGCTTTGGAGTACTCAGATAGGTCAGCGGGTCTGGCAGTATGGACTCACTAACAGTTAGATACCAGGCACGTAATAACCTTCCGCACCTTAATTAAGCCTTGACAAGCCTCTGATGCATCTGAACCCCTTGCAGCCCTGTAGGCCAGTCTGAGCTTTCAGTGCCAAGGCTGGCAGTTATTCTTTTTGTTAGTGTAGTAGATAATATGAAATAAAAATATTTTGTCTTTGACGTGATTTGTGTTTGCTTTATTTTGCGATCATTCTTTTTCTGTTTCTGAGCTGGATCCTCCAAATGTAGGAAAGCAGTTTATAGCTGTGATTAAATTACCTTTTCTCTTTCTCTACATTTTAATCTTTCATCGTTCTGTGCAATTTAGATTATAAATGTAGATTACTTTTTACTAAGTTAAGATATACCTGGGAGCAGCCTGAATATAAAAAAAATTAATGACCCCTGATAGGCTTCTGATTTTTGGATTTTGTCTCAAGTATTTTCCTGCCTTAAGGGATAAAAAAAGTGGCTAGCTCTGCAGATAAGATCAGTGCTGCTTTTAGCTCACTAGTTCATTTGGCAGATGATTTACAATAGGATATTTACTGCACAGTCATCTCTTTCATAGAAAAATTCCCAGCTCCAACATTTTTTACCACTCCCTCCTTGATAGAGGAGAAAAGTATATTTTAGTTCAGTCCACTATGTAAATCATTCTACCTTGTACTGACATGTTGGTGCAGAAGAATTTTCAAGTTCTTACTCATAAACTGGTAAAACAAAATTCTAAATTGTTAAAGGTTTTCCAAATATTTAAAAAATGAGTTATGGACATAAATAATTCACTCTCCTCTAGAATATTTGGCAGTACTGGTCACCCTAGGTTACAGAGGACTTCAAGAAAGTAGAAGTGCACCAAGAATGATGTTTTGTTGTTTAAGGTTTATTGATAGGAAAAAAAAAAGTTAAATAAATCTTGGTTTAAGAAAGGAAGAAATACTAAATGGTAAAGATGTATTTTATGAACTCCAGGGTCAGACCTGTTTTTACACTACCAGCCTGGAAATACTTACTGGAATGGCAACAGCTGTGACACCAAATACTGAAATTCAAATACAACTTCTTTAGGAGTTTTGCGGCATGAACTGGTGCTCCATGGTTATTTAAATTATAGCCACATTTGGAATTAGTGGAGCAGTTATTTACTGTCTCTTTCAGTAACTTTGAATGATTGATTCTACTGACGCGCTTTGAGTTTTGTGCTTTACTGAAACAATTGAAATAGAGAGAAGAATTACATGAACAGCATGTGTATCTTTTCAGAAGTGAGCTTTGTTTTTAGATGCAGTCCTTAGCTTTCTGGCTTGAACCCAGAAATCAAAAAATTGCATGACTTGGATTGTAGGTCCGGCTGTTCTGGTTATTTTGTGATGAATATGACAATTTTCTAGTTTGCTAAATTAGAAATAATAATATATGTTCACTTCTCAGAATATTTTAAGATCTGAAGATTAAAAAAACAATTCAAATCTTGCATGTACATGCACGTTCAAATACATCGAAATGAGTGAGATTACTCAAGCATAGAGTTGCATTTGTAAACGTTTATAGATTATGAATTAAATTTTAATATTATTTCCAAAGTTAAAACTATCATTACAAATAGTTACAAATGTTTGAGGTCAGTCTAAAGGACAATAATAGATTATCTGGGTTACAGTTGAAAACAAACAGAATGTTAGTATTTTTATTGATAATTGGTCTGATTTATGAAAAATTGAAGTAATCGCTTTCTTAGTGAGACTTATAGTCAGACCAATTTGGAACTTGAAAAATTTCCCAACTTGTACTTGCATTGCTAACAGTCTCACAATTACTTTCTTTTGGGGAAATGAAGGTGTTTTATAAGAAGGAAGTAGGAGCTGGCACAGCTGTAAAAGAGACTCCAGAGATTGAAAGAGTAAAGAAAAATCAACAGAATATTAGTTCGGTAAGTGTTATTAGCATTAATTATTCTTATGTGAGTAAATGGTAGTCAATTTTTTTCCATCCTGTTTACTAAAAATTCTACATTTTCATATCACACATCTCATTCAAATACCGCTCCACTGGATTTTGCATATAGAGCTCCATTCTAGCAGAGTTAGAGCTCCACTTAGTTCTTCTCTGTTCAAAGGTAAAGTTTCATATTGAAGCATCATGAAAAATAGGAAAAACTTTTAACTAAATATTTGAGGAAAGAGTTTTGTTTTTCAAGAGTGAGAAACATGAAATGTATTTCCCAATATGACAGACTGAACACCAGTTCTAATTTGCAATTTAGAAAAATATCACAAAAAAGAAAATCTGTCAAGTTTCTGTAGAGTCCGCATGTATTACATAGGGGTTGGTACAGTTTGCATTTCAAGAAGAGGAAAATTATGTCCAGACTCAAGCTATGTGAAAAGCTGGAGGGTTTGTGCCTCTTTACATGCTGATGACAAGTTGATCTGTGGATCTGATGAGACTGTTTCTGAATTGATATAGTTTATCTGTGGATGCTCAATGTCTTTGGCACTTTAATGGGCAACTAAAAATAAAATATCAAAATGAGAGTTTTCTACAAGTAGAACATGCTCTTCTGATAAAACCGTGGCGTTTTGGAAAAACGTGGTGAAGTGACTGCCAAGCAAGAAAACATTTGTAGCTGCATTGTTCACTTGTTTGGAATTTTTGGTGCAGAGTCCTCTGGGACCATTTTTATGTTTGTGACATGACTTTTCTGATGATCAGATGCTGTTTTAAAAATAAGGTTTGAAAGTAATGCATAGACGTGGCACTAGCTTGTGTTTAAATATTAGTTGAAATCCAAATTAGAGACTCTGGACATCTATTTTACTGGAATTTCCTTATGTACCAAGTAGTGTTAAATACTGCGTTTCCCACCAAAGTAAGGTCAGGTAGGGAATTTCCATACAATTTTGAAAAACTCATATTTTCCCTGGAATGTTTCCCTGCTCCATCCATCACTTTTCATCTTGTCATTTTGAGTCACAGTGCAATTTGAAGATTCGGTACAAGCTATCATGTGTCCTAAATCCTGAAATAGTGTTTCTGGTTGGGAAGCTGTAGGTTTTCTTGGTTTGAGGGTGGGGTATTTTTGTTGTTGTTTTTTGCTTTTTTTTGTTTATTCCCCACCCCCCATTATATTTTTGGGTGTTTTTTTTAGCCGGATTGGTACTGGTGTTCTAGAAACAAAAATCTAATCTCGTTACCTATTTGATTTTCAGTTACCATAGACATCTATTTTGAGAGTAGTCACACACACAGAGGCTTAATAGGAGTACTCTTACTCTAATGCTTTTTCTCAATACCTTTCAAAATGAAATGGAAAAATAGTGTACCGTGCTCTTGCTGGTTTAGAAATCCTAAATAGTGGTGAAGAGGGGAAAATGAAAGGTGGATCAGTATGCTAGTAAACACACTTGAACAAAAGCATATCAAGAGAAACACAAAATGCATTAGTGGTTTAGTGGTTTGATATATCATGGCCTTTACCTTGCTAGTCTGTGTATAGAGTTAAAATTTTACAAAAGGTATTTTATTATATGTAGTGTATTTGAGATTACTTAAGTCTTGTATAATATTTATTAAAAGTGTAGAATGCCAAATTTGAAACCAAAGTGCAGGAAAGTTTTAAATTATATGTCAGTAAGAGAGAAATTATATTGTGCAGTAAGAGGGAAATTATATTGTCTAATTTACAGGAGTCCCAAAGGAAGGGTAAATTACACCAATTTTGATGCCATTAGATTTAAACATTTTACACATATCTTTGAATTTATCCAGAAGGACTTAGGACAGCTTTAAAACTATTTGCTGAGCTAAATGAAACTATGGAATATGAAGCACATCTGCAGTGCAAAAAACCCCAGAATACCAAACCAAAATAACACTCACTGTAAAACCAAACCATGCAAAAAAGTCTGTTGCATCATGTTCTGAGAGTGATGAGATTCTTCCAAATGACATATATTGGAGACAAAGATCAGAACAGTCTGTTTTCAAATCCTAAAAACCAATGTGGTGACAGCCAAGGGGTTGAGCTCATCTCACCTGTTGTGATGATTGGTTTGGAAGAAGCAGCCTCCTAAATAGTTGGAGTCAAGATCTCACAGAACTTTAAAAGCAAACACCAGGCCCATGGACTGTAACTGAATCTGAACTGAGAAGCTACAAATAACTAAGGATTTTTTAAAAGCTTGTTTGTACTGGGGGACAGGCAGGGCTGGACACAGCGCCGGGAAGAAGGCTTTTGGGCGAAGATTGTAATCGTGTTTTTGTTTGTGTGAAATCCATGAGGAAACCCCTGTGATATGTCAGTCAACACCACAAAGCTGGGGTCTGATTAAAACTCAAGCAACGGACATTTTGAAGCATTTTAAGGACTAGTAGCACTGCCAATTCTTAAGCTTACCTAATAGTCTCTATTAAAAGAACCTTTTTTTCCAGTGGTTTAGTACTTCTGCCAGTCCTAAACTGTCTGGACTGAAATTTTCCATTCCTGGTCTGTGCTTTGGGCTGGTTTGGGTTTATTTATTTATTTATTTCTAAATTTCAGCCAAAGCAGCTTCCAAGTATGAACTTAGAGAAAAACAAGTTGTTTTGTCTGTGTTAAAAAATTTGGCACTCTGCAGAAGTGCCATGTCTTGGAGAAGAGAGTTGAAAATTATCTACTAAGTGACATTTGGTACAGTGGATTTGGGAAAAAAGAGGCCAGGGGTGAGGAACTGAAGGTGTAGAAGGGCTTGGTCAAAGTGGAAAGGCCACATGTGGGGAAAGATGGGCAGACTGGTGTGTTCCTGTGCATAGGTGCTTCCTTCCAGAAGAGCTGAGACAGAACCCAAGGTCGTTTAGACTCATCACTCCCTCACTGTCAGCGTGTATCTGAGGTACCCTTGGTCAAATATTTTCCCTTTAATGATGGTGTCTACAGAGGTAGCAAACTATGATTGTTCTCATGGGTTTGTGCAGTCGATCTAAACAAACCACAAGGGGCTTAAGATGAAGGCACACAAAGGGATGTACATTTGTAGTTTTTTAAATCATGAGAAATTGCCTCCCCAAGAGGTACCTTTAGGGAGTATTAGTAAGGTCACTAAGTCAATGCTCAAAAGCAAGCACCTGAATTCAAGTGCCTGTGTCTAGACCTGATGATCCATTGCCAAAGTGTATGATTTTATACTTTGCCATGGAGGCGGATCTGCTCTGGTTTTCTGTTTTGCAAACTACAGTTCAATGGGAATACTCATTTGAATGCAGGTGCTGTATAATCCTATGTTTTTTACAATTATGTAGCCAGATTAGCTGTTACTTGTCTATGCTCTCTAGTAAAAATAGTACTTTTCCTTGTCACAATTCCTTTTTTCCTCATTTCACAGCAAAATTAGTGAATTAATGTGTGTGAAAAACTCAGATGCTTTAGCGAGGAGCAACACAGAAAACTTCCTGAAGAAATCAGTAATTCTGTCATCAAAGCAGGACCTTAGAGCAGTTAAAGAAATAAAAAAAGCAGTCACGGTCTGCATGCAAACGACTCACTAAGTAAGGGTCATTGATTATGTGTAATGAGTGAGGCAGAATTCTCTTGAGAAAAACAGCTTTTGATAATAGATAAAGAAGATTGTAAAGCACTTAAAGGAAAAGAATGAAGTAGTGTAAGATATATTAAAAGCTGTATATGGAGCATATTTGTGCAAGGGGCAAAACTAAGGTTACATTTAAGTTAATTGTGTCATTTTCTGATTTTTGAGTCCTTGATTTTACAGCCTTGAAATGTATTTAACAGAAGTTTTGTATGCCACATTAATATGACTGTACAAATTGATTCATTATGATGTTCCCTTGTTCTTAAAGTACTTTTCCTTCCTTGAGTCTTGCTAATGAAAAATATTTCCAACTGTTATGTATCACTGCACGCACAATTTTGAATGTTTTTGTGAATTTTGCTGTTTTATTACCATTGTAAAGAAAAAGAAAGCATGCCATATCACTGTAAAGGATGGCATGGTCTACAGGTATTGTTTATTTTATGGTGGCATAAGTGATTTGAAGCTGAACGTGCTGAATACTGGACAGGTATTTAGTAACAGACGTTGAGACAAAGACAATGCACAGATTTTTCCTAGATGACCCTTTTGGATAGCATATGGAAAACCAGAAAATATGATGCCTTCCTTTTTAGTACCACATCCACTTAACCTTACAGTTCTTTCTCATTTAGTTGAATTCCAGTTTTGGTACATATGGTGTATAATTGAAGAAATTCTAGTTCTGTGCATCTTTCAAATTATGGAGTCTACCATATCCAAACATACTGCTCTTTAGAAAAGATTAAACGTGGCAAAAGCAACAGTAAATATCTGACAGCATCTTCAAAAGCATCATCCATCCAAACATCTGCATTCTCCCTGATGTGTCTGTGTGAGTTTTTAGAGAACTTGAACGAGACTTTGAAGTCATCCACCCTTTTAAGAACACATCTGTGAAATGTTTGGTTTCTGAAATGGACTGGTAGACTCCGTAGCAAGATAATAGCAAGACCAAGTCATTGTCAGAGTGATGCAGATCTCCAAGTAGTATATGGAGCATCCCAATTATCATGAAGATAGCCACAATCTCATGTGATGCATATTCCTTCTGTAAGAGTCTTAGGATATTAGGCTTGTTATATGCACACTGCTGCATTGTATCAAACAAGATGCATTGGAGACCCTAGCATCCTGTTTCAAATATTAAATATAACTGTTTCTTTTCAGGTCAATAGTGTTGATAGGTGTGGCCTAGCTGTGCAGTATGTGTAAGGGAGAGATTACAAAATGTTTGTTGTGTTTTAGTGCTTGTCTGTATCTTCTTTAAATTGCTAATATTTTGTAATATTTATTGTGCAGATTAAATACAAGGAAGAAATTCAGCATGCAACTATTATTTCTGACCCACCCGAATTAAGGAGAGTTAAGGAAAACCAGAAGAATATTAGCAATGTGTGACCCATTTTCATTGTTTGCACACTTCTCTCTGCTGTATTAACTGTGTTTGTGCCTCACTGAATATCTGTGGTGTTTGTGCTAGTTCCTGTTTGTCCACAAAGCCTAATTTAATCAATTAACAGTAAAATGATAACTCCTTAGCCTTGCACTTTGATTAGCATCAATGAGAGTGAAGTATTCCTGTTGTATCAGTTGTCTGTGTCTGAAATAGAACTGCAAGAGGGTGAGTACTAAGTATTGTGTGGAAACATGTGGGTGTTTATTAAGGAATGGTATTTTCCATCCAAATGCAATGTGCTTTTTAATGATGTCTAACATACTGTGGTATTTCTGTTACTCGGAAGTCTCTGTGTAATATCTTCTACCATGTTTGCTATAGGTTCAGTACAAAGAACAGCTCTGCAAAGCTACACCTGTGAGCGTCACCCCTGAGATCGAAAGAGTCAAGAGGAATCAAGAGAATGTCAGCATGGGAAGTTGCTCTCATTTAATCCTTTGTATAATTTTTGGGTGCAGAGGATGAGTACAAAGTTCTGCCTCCGGAAGCTGTGCCTTTTCTTTAGTTAGGTGCAGGCTCAGTAATGGAATTCCTTGAAAACCCTCTTTTAGGAAGCAGTCATGAATAACCATTGCTTGGTATGGGAAATGGCACGTGATTTTTTTTTTTTTTCACTCAGCAGAGTATCCTTTTCCAGCTTTTTATTTTCCTTTGCTTTGTAAAAAACTGGCTACAGTTGTACTCAAACTCCAGCTCTCTTACTTGTCTCTTTCTGGTTCCTCAGTAACCTTCCTATCAGAGTTTAGTATTTAATGGCTGACATTACCATTAGAAAGTCATACTGTTTGCAGGAACCCAGGGAAGAAGGCAAGGACTTTTGGAGCACGCTGCTGCCTTCCTGCATTGTTGAAATTGTACCCCATTAATGAGTCTTTGAGAAACCAGCCCTTCTCCTCGCTGGGAACTTCCATCAACAGCTGTATTTCATGGGGCTACAAATAGCTACAATGGGGGGTTTTCTGCCATGTTCCCCAAATTAATTTAGGGTTACAATTTAAAAGAATACTGTCCCTCTAACTTAAGTGTATGCTATTTATTCCTGGATTTATGTTGATAAATCTAACTCTCCTAAAATGCATGCTGTTCCAACAAACCAGTCTGTGTAGTTGTTCTACTCACATCATTGTTTACCTTTCACCAATTTTTGTGTTGTGCAAATTTCATTGGAAAGTTTAAATTCTCTTTCAGGTCACTGGAATAGCTTTGCATGAAGATTCTTTAACTTCAATGTTTCTAGAAACATTAAGTCTTGAATAATCATTTTACCTTTACAAATGTCAGTTTGCAAGTTTAATCCATTTGATAACTTACCATAATTTTTATAAGATGTTAATTTTTCAATTGGAATATGTTGATGTGGACAGACCAAAACTGTGTTGTGTGGGAAGACAATTGCTTGAACAATATGTATGTTACTGCTGCAGTGCACTGCAGTTATGAGCATAATGTATCAACACAGTTATCCTTATCACACAAACCCAAGAGCTTATTTAAAAAAGGGAAAAAAAAAAGTTTTGTATGGAAACATTTATTTTACATAAAACTATACGGATTGGCATAAATCATGCAAGAATCTCTAATTATTTATTAAATGTTTACCGTATCTGACTTCCCAGTATTTGGGGCCAGGGTTAACATTAGACTGATTGGTTTGTCAATGCCACGTCCTATCCTTTATCTGCTTTAGATACTGATCCTGCCTTGAGTGTGCATTTGGTTAATGCATCATTGCTACAAGTGTATTTTGTTAAAAAGCAATAGAGGGGATATTCCTACAGTATATTTAAATAAACACATGGTGAAATTTAGGCAGTTGGATTCAATTGGCAGTTGTCTGATATATTGCACCCACTGTGTTTAATCACCTTTGAATATATAGAGTATAAAAGTTAGAACATTGATGGTATTCTTATGGAATCTCCGTGTCTGGACAAATACACGTTTACAGTGGACATTGCTGTTTTTCATGGTTTTTTTTTCATGAGTTTTTCATGTGCATGCTTGAATTTACTGCATTATTTGTGGCTTACCCCATTCCAAACATAAGATATTTCTCTATAGAGCCAAGCACCAGTGTGGTAAATGTCAAGGTGTTGTGTGCATATATGTGTATATATCAACACAAATGCGTCAATAAGACTATACAGAAAGAATTCAAGGTTATGCTTCAAAAATCAAGTTTTATAAGCTTTAATAAACTTCAGATGCATTTTAGCTTTCCAGTTGTTTCCTGAATGACCTTTTAAATCATACATTTTAATGTAAAACAATGTAATATTGCTTTAGCTGAAATAGTATGTACCATTTTATTCTGTTAATAGGTTCACTACAGAGAGCAGCCTGGCAAAGCTACCGCTGTGAGTGTCACTCCTGAGATAGAGAGAGTCAAGAAGAATCAAGACAATATCAGCTCGGCAAGTTATTTGAATCTTTTTGTCATTTAGATTTTCAGTCATTGTAGGAATATAACAAGGATATGCTTTTCCATTTAGATTTGATGTGTCAAATCCAACTGCATCATACACTGAATGGATTTTTTTTTTTTTTTTTTAATCCTTTGAGTACATGCGCTGCACATATGGGCAACAAAAATATTCAGACTTGCCTGGTTATTCTTGCAAAAAAAGTAAGTGGTTGTGTTGGCACCAGTATTTTTTGAGGAGAGAGTCAGTAGAGGTCAGTAATTCTTTAGTTTTAGTTGCTGGATTGCAGCAGTAAATTACAGTAAAGAACAAAGGAAATGAGAATTTAACATTATTGCAAATTTCATTTTTTTTAATGATTCAAAGCATGAAAGTGTGTAGTCATCCATTCCACTCTGCGACATGCCACCTTTGTTAGAGCTGAGTAGTCCTAAATAGATCCTGTTACTAAACACTAAAGAGTAAAATACTATATTTTTCTTGGCTTTTATGATATTACTTACCCTTTTTTTTTTTTTTTTTCTTTTTTAATTGCCACTACAGTGGTGTAAGAAGCAGCAGACAGTTCTAATAAGGAGCAAGGAAGAAGTCAAAACAGCGTGGTGAAGTAAAGGACCAGACTAGTTACATTATAGTCTGTGTCTTCAAGAGTGAAACAAAATCAGTGACAAAGCCCCTGCAGATCGTAAATAGAACAGGTTTCATGCAGAGCCACTGTTTCAAGGTGGCAGAAGAGAATTAATAGTAGTGAACACTTTAGAACTGAGTGCAGGAGTGAAAAGTAAAGTAGGTTGGATTTGTCAGAGGATTTGTCTAAGGACAAAGGAACAGAATCTGACCTTGTAACTACATATGTCTTAAGTACGTTCTTAAAATGCTCATGCATATTTACTGAAGTTTTTAGGTGCATAGTTAAAAATAAGAGGAAAACTTCCTAATAATTCTAGGCTTTACATAATTGGTTTTATTTCTGAAAATTAAGCTTTTTTTTCCAAGTGCGTCCTTCACTTTGTTTCTCAAGATTTACAGGGATAAATACTCCTCTATGTTAATGAACAGTAGATTAAAACCAAACTATGTTGGCTGTAATTATTCTGTCCAGAAGATGCCTTATATTCAAAAGCATATGTAGCTGAATATATTTGCTAAGAAAATTTATTATTTAATTAAGAAGGGTTTGAAGAATATGCGGTACCATATATTTCTGTCTCTCTGTACATTAACTCAAACTTACTTATGAAACATAAACACCAAATCTCATATTTTCAAAGGTGTGTTGTGCTTAGCTAATATGTAATTTTAAGAAGGGTTAGACAATTTCAGTACTTGGTTTCTGTCATCACAAATGTGTGTTGAAATAGATTTGCACAACTGATTTGAGAGGTAATACCTTGAGTGTGGATATATAGCTAAATCTAAAATATTTACTAACACTCAGTGCACAGGTTACAATGCAATGTAGGAGCTAAGAGAGTCCATTAGTAGAAGAATTCAACCAGCCAGAAGAAACGGTAAGAATACTCACTCTAGAACCAACAAGTAGGACCAACTACTTTTCCTGTTTTAGAATTCTGTGTGGGGTTTTTTGCTTTTTCTTTTTTTTTAAAGACAGATAATTAACCTTGCATCTTTACAAGTCTGTAAAATGCCACAAAAGCAGCTAATTAGGAGAATTGTGACACAACAGGTTCTGTACTTGCTGATGCACAAAACACAGAGCCCAAATGTTCTATTTGAAAACAGCGTATTCAGATTTGTCCCAGACATGTTGCTTTTGTGCTGCTAGCAAAGACTAGCTACTGAACAGGACTAAGGCGGCTGCCGAAGGACTAATCTGCTTGCAATAGTTGAATTCCCTGGGGACCCAGGGGTTCTCAGCTAATCCCAACCTGGAAGCAGACTGAGGACAGAATCTGGGTCTGTCTGGGTAGTAAGAAGGTAGCTTATCATCAGCCATACAAATATGTTTTAAGGATGTCCAAGTCACAAGTCAAGTTATTTATCTTATTTTTCAGTTCATAAATGAATTATTTCGCTTATGCCATTTAACCAGCCAAGAGTTTCAGCTTTCAGGTAAATACTATTTCTTTGGGTAAGTGATCAATGGAATAAACATGCCCTTTGGCCTTACCAGTATACTAGCTCATCTGTATCCTCCCTCTGAAATAAGTTACTATAAAATGAGTGTAAAGAAAGAAACAAGAAAAAAGTTGGTCATTGTGATTTGGAAGGGGTACCGTTACATGGTGTGATTCTCACCATCCTTTCTACTGTAAACAAAAACCTCATGTGTGCTGTTGTTGCTGTTTTGCAGGTCAAGTACAGCAGTGATCAGAGGCAGATGAAAGGTAGACGTAGTGTGCTTCTAGACACACCTGAGCTAAGGCATGTCAAAGAAACACAAAACAACATCTCAATGGTAGGGTACTTTCTTCCTATAACTAGAGCATACTAGAGAATGGCACTTGACTTCCACTGGATTTTGCCTTCCATTAATATAGGTAACTAATGAAACTCTCTGCTCAAGTATGGAAGGAATATTTTCTTCTTATGCCTGTTGAGGGAGTGTTTGCTAACTGCATATGACTGTAATGAACATTTTCAAAGTACTAATAAACAGTTTTCTAACAGTTAAATGTCTGTTCTTTTGTTTGGGTTTTTTTTTTTCTTTCAAACGTACACACCCTCATTTGGGCATCACACAGTTTGACTGGATTAGGTGACACACTTCACCTTGTGCCTGTGCACGTTCCTGGTTTCTGCGTGACTTTTTTTCTTGGAATGAGTTGTTTTGTGTGCATTTGCTTGTGTGAGAATGTTTGTCAATTTAAGTCTTTGATGATTAAGACTATTTAGAAAGTAAATATGCATAATCAGGGGTACTACCTTTATAACTCTTACTAATACTGGTTTTGTTCCAACACTTGGTTATATAACACTTTCTACCCTAATGTCCTTGGTTTTAATTTTTTGTTTTGTTTTATTTTGGAAAGCAGGCTGCTTAGAATAACTGCAATTCTTTCTAAAAACCTATGTTTAAAGCCAGCTGGCATATGATAAAACAAAAGAGGGAAAGACTACCTTTTGTATGAAACTGTGCGTACAATCAAAATTCTCGGTGAATGAAAATACTTGAGTTCTTTAGAACTATTACTGCTGGAACATTTTTTGCTGACAGATGTAGTTGTCTACATCAGTAGAGAGCTATCCTATCTTAGAGAAGAAGGGAATGGACCAGATGACCTCCTGAGGGCTTTTCCTGTCCTATGTGACTGTAAGATAATGCTTTGCTGCTTAAGTTAATGCTTAATTCAGTGGCAATGGAAAACAAATGCAAAAATGGTAATAAAATATCAGGAAGTCAAGTTAGGGAGATAGGCTGGATGGCCGGCCAAGTCTTTTCTATCTCATGTATGTAACAATTCTATTATGGTGCAAAACCCAAAGATATAAGTGCCTCATAAAACAAACATGTATGCGTTCCTGCGTAGAATAATCATTTGCTGTCAATTACAGCTTGTGGAAAAATGTAATTCTTGTTTTCCTAGGTAAAATACCATGAAGATTTTGAGAAGACAAAGGGCAGAGGCTTCACCCCAGTCGTAGATGATCCTGTAACAGAGCGTGTGCGGAAAAACACCCAAATTGTGAGTGATGCAGCATATAAAGGTGTGCATCCACATATCGTTGAAATGGATAGAAGACCTGGAATAATTGTTGGTAAGCTGTTAAATACTGTTGCTATTGAAAACACTCTGGGGAAGATGAAAGCCTCTGCTTGTGTTCTCCATTATAACCAAGAAAAAGTACTCCCAGATTTCATTTTCACTCTTTTCTCAGCCTGAAACTTGTGTTGAACTACTGGTTCAATGCCAGCTTCTAGCAAAATAAGAATGGGAATGAATGGAAGATACACTATCATTTGCTCTGTAATTTTTTTTTAAAATATGGATAGTCGTTGCTATTACTTTAAGTTTGAATTTTAACTTGACTCTTCAAGAAAGGCCAGAGTATCTGCTATAATCTTCATTTTGCACGGAAGAGAGATTATTAAAGCTGTGAGTCTCCAAGATTTCAATGTTTAAATATTGCAGACCAGTTTGAGATTTCCCCTTCTGTCAGTCAGCAATTTCTCCAGAGCTGCACATGCTCTATTTTCCTCTTGCTTTAGAATTTCACACAGCTTTCAAAATACCTCAAGCTGTAATTCATCAATAACTCATTAGATCTCTGGTAAGCCAAACACCAGAGTTCACAAGTGATGTTCTAAAAGATGGTCCAAGATAAGACCAGGTGTTCAGGGGGTAGAATACAGATTGGTTTTGTATGTAGAGACAGACTATTTCATTAGGGTGTCATACTGAACACTATTTCAAAATCAAAATGGATATTTGAAATCTTTTAAAAGTTAGCAAGTCTACTATGGTGTCCTGGTTTCGGCTGGGATGGAGTTAATTTTCTTCCTAGTAGCTGGCATAGTGCTGTGTTTTGGATTTAGTAGGAGAAGAATGTTGATAACACACTGATGTTCTAGTTGTTGCTAAGTACTGCTTATGCTAGTCAAGGACTTTCTCAGCTTCCCATGCTCTGCCAGGTGCACAAGAAACTGGGAGGGGGCACAGCCAAGATAGCAGATCCAAACTGACCAAAGGGCTATTCCATACCATATGATGTCATCCTCAGTATATAAACTGGGGGGAGTTAGCCAGGGGGCAGCGATTGCTGCTCGGGGACTGACTGGGCGTCAGTCGGTGGGTGGTGGGTGGTTGCATCACTTGCTTTTTTTCCCCTGGGTTTTGTTTCTCTCTCTCGTTGTTCTCCTTTTCATTACAATTTTTATTTTTTAAAAATTATTACTATTATTATCATTATTTTATTTCAATTATTAAACTGTTCTTATCTCAACCCACAAATTTTCTTACTGCCCTTCAAATTCTGCCCCCCATCCCACCGGGGAGGGGAGGGTGAGCGAGCAGCTCTGTGGTGCTTGGTTGTTGACAGGGGCTAAACCACAACGTATGGCAAAGGAAATGGTAACCTGACGTTTTTATTTTTTTCCCCCTTCTTTTTCTTTTTGGGTGTCCTTTTTCTGTTTTTCTGTGCTTTACAACAGTGTAGACCCCAGAGGGTCTACATAGAGGAAAACATGCTGAGATAGCACTCTAAAATCCTTCATACATAGTAATAATAGCAAGGGTTGAATTTAAGTCTACCTCTCAAAAATCAGAGAAATTGCAGGTCAAATGGACTAATTGGTGCGTCCTATAGTCCATCCTCCTGCCTAAGGCAAGGTTATCTATATCATTCCTGGCAGATGCTTCTTCAGTCTTTTCCTTAAAGTCTCCAAATGAGTCTCCACCACATAAAGAAGTGTATTTTTTAACTTTTGTGCAGCCACCTTTTGCATGTCTGTAGCTACAGCCTTATGTCAGAAGGGATTTCTCAAAACTGAGTGTTTAGAGAGCTCTGCCTGGGGAAGGTACTGATGCTTTTAAGACCATGCAAGCCTCAGAGGGTCACACATTCTGGATCTAGGGCAACCAACTTGTTCAGAAAACCATTGTCTGTAGAGACCCAGGCACTTAAACTCACTTCCATAGCTAGAAGTGGTGCAGCCAAAGAGAGAGAGAAAAGCTCCTGCAAAATGCACTTTAATATACAGTTTGCGATATGCTGTTTAGCGTGCACTTCAAACCTCCTACTCTGTACTGCATTGCACATGTGCTGTAGCTCTATGTAAGAATCATGTGTGCAATCCTGTGTTCAGTAACTGAAGGTTTGCTAGCACAAACAGATTAGGATTAAGACCGTCCCTGAGATAAATTCTTGAGCTGTAACTAACTGAACTATTAGTACTGTTTATCACCTTAAAATACTCCAGTATCAAAACACACAGGAATTCTTAGCCCCCCATGCCTGCCAAACAGCAAAAATAGTGCAACTGTTTAAAGGAAAGAGGCCATGACAAACCTGTGAGCCTAATATTCAGTGATATTTCACCTAATGCTTTTTCAGAGTGAACTGCAATTATAGTATCTGCTTGTTTAAAAAGAAGCAGTGAGCTCCCTGCTCATGGAATGTCCTTGGCAGCTAGAAAAAAAAATTGCAGACTGAAGAAAACAACTGTAACTCTCTTGAGTTTTTTCCTGGCTGATAATTGTTCAGCCAGTTAGGAAAAGTACCCCTGTGTTCAGAGTCCATCTGGTTGGTTTTTAAATTATTATTGGTGAAGCTGTAACAACATTTTCAAATACCCAATTGCTAAAATTAATGCCTCTGCTTTGGAAAATAGGCATTAGTTTTAACCATGCTAAAGCCATTTTAAACCCATCAAGATAAATTATCTAACTGAGCTTTGGATCTGTGACTAAAGAGGCTCCATGATTCTCATGTGAGCATAAGGATATTTTAAATTGGCAAAAGTTACCAGGAAGTTAAAATTGATCGGTGCTATAAATTGCCAAGTTTCTGATTCTATGTATGTTATTTCAGATTACAGAGATGGATAAAATCAATACAAATCAACAGCTGCTGCACTGATGCTGCCATAAAGCTGTACTTATTGTGTTTTTACTTATTAAAGCATGATCAAACAGGAAAAATTGGGCATTTGCAAGTTCCCCCACCCTCCTCATGCCTGTCACTGCTTTATGTAGTTGCATAATTTATCACTGTTAGGACCAACACATAGTTTATCAAAAGATTTTGCATTGGCTTTTATTTATCTTGTCAATAGGGCGTTAGCACTATGCCTCACCTGATGGGAATTGCAGTAGATAACACATAATGTACATACACACTGAATGCATTCTAAAGCCATGGAATTTATTTTATTAGCTCTGTCTGTTCTTTCCATTGCCTCTAGGCTATTAATCATTTGAAACGTGACATATTTGGGGTCCCCACAGTCCTACTTTACCTACCAACCCATTATTTAGCTTGGTACTAATCAAACCAGCAAAAGGACCAAGTTGAGAAAACCATTATTTTTCCCACTTGCAATGCATTGAGTAAATCTTGCAGACAGGTCTGCCCAAGAAGCAAACCACTAGTAAAAAGGTGTGATGTGGTAGATTTGTGCTTTAACTGATTATACTTTACATCAAGGTTTTATTTTAAACTGGTTTGGAGAGATTAAATGATTATTATATTTTTAGACATAGCAGATATGAGTTGTATATATATTAGATTGATGTGAAGTAGATTAAGAATTTATACTGTAGCTGCTTCTGCATTTGTTATAAGCCTCCTCGTGTACAACTATTTATTTAACTTTTTTAAACTTATTTAACTAATTATTTGTTAAAAGTTTATTAAAAAGATGGTTCATTCTGTATTCACTTTTCTGCTGTGATGATAACTTAAGCTCAGATACGAAATTAATTATTTCTTATGGACTCTTTTTTCTTTCAATATCCAGTTCAGATGTGAATTGAAGAGATATTAATAACTTATTTGTATGAATGAAAGCTGTAGATCTAATGATTACTACTGTTATTGAATACATACATTGAAGTCCAAAAATGCTTTTTGATAGTGGGGTAGTGGATCAACAGTAAGTCTGTGTCCCAGGAAACTTACATATTGGGAAGACTAGTTAAGATCAAGAGTGGGCTTCATTTTACCCAACTGTAGATGTCTACAGTGTAGGTTTCTGCAGCTGAATTTGTCACCCTAGTCCATTTTTTTTACTAATTAAGAAAGATGGACACTTTTGAGTTTATATGAATTGAGCAACTTGTAGAAATTTATTTTGGATAAGATGAACTATGCCTCTGATTCTGCTTATTAAGCTGACATAATCTCTACTGCATGCAAAAGAGGGCTTGTAGTGCCTCTGTAGTGCTCTGTCAGCTGTAGAGATGTATACTGCCAACTGTCAGCTATAGGGATATATACTGCAGCATCTCCATGGAGTAAGGATGCTGTTGGTGGACTGGGGAAATAATCTTGTAGCTCTGATGATTTTGGTTCTCCTAGTGGAAAAGAGTTCTGGTATGTGATATTTAACTTGTTTCCATTTATTTAGACTTAAGAAAATACTAGGGTCATATTTAGAAAAAGAAAACAAAAATTGGGAGGAAAAAGTCTGCTTAAAATAATGTCAGTGCTTAAAATGAATGCACTAAGTTCTTTTAAGCAGGAAAGTAATGCTTTCCTGTCCTTTCAGGTGAATATCTAGATCTTTTGGTTAATTTCTAGATGAAAGAAATTGGTTGCTGATTGTTAAAACTCATTCCTTTCATGCTTTTACTTCCTTTGTTGTTTGTCTGTCTTATAATTTCTGTGCTTTGGGAAAAGATCTTAAAGTTTGGCGCACAGATCCTGGCTCCATCTTCGACATTGATCCTCTGGAGGACAATATTCAGTCTAGGAGTCTGCATATGCTTTCTGGTATTGCTTATATCCTGACTTTTCCCCAGTTTGGCTTTTTATGTTTATGAAACTAAGTTGATAGAGTAAATTTTCAGGTCAATGTGCCATCCATATGTTTTATAAGTATGTTTTCATACAACTATAGTATTGTAAAAGCAGTGTTTTATAGGAACTTCAGCAGTAATCACATGTGCAGATAAGAAATAGTGAAATAAATCTTATCCTAATCAACAGTTATTCATACCACTTACAAATAGTCACTTAAAAAGCATTGACCTAATTTATCCTCGCTATAAGCAGAATTTTCTAATAGTTGGTCCTTGCTAAGATTTCAGAGATATAGAAGGTGGCCTATTTATGAAATTGATTTCTTTTCTATGCACATTTTGCTTATATGGCACATGTTATTATGCGTTGTGCTATTATTTGCAGCTCCAAGGTGTTCATAATTGAAGGGTAGATGGAAAAGGAGAGAAGATAATGTAATAATATGCAGCAGTGTTTTGGCTCTACAAGTTTTTTGATTTTTTCTCCCTAGAAGTGTTTATTTTGAATGTTTAATTTTGCACATGTATTTTCTTTGCTACTCATAGTGGAACTTTAAATATTCTTTTGAATGTCACACGGCAGTATTTCCACATGCACTTGTATGCATGCTGGGATAAAGGAACATTTTGATTTTCCACTGGAAATTTTCATATGCTTCATCTTCATCCCTTTTTTTCCCAGTATCTCAATCCTCTCTTCCATTTCTGCTATTCTTTTAAAGCAGAGAACAAGCTTAGTAGTGTCTGATTTTGAAGCAACCTTTTGAACTATTGGTGTTCAAAATGGATACAAAATCATGAACAGTTCACTTTTCTCTAATTTTAATGCCATCAGTGTATGAATATCAATGTTAGCAGTGTTGGGGTTTTTGTTGGTGCTTGTCTTTGCACTTCTGTCATCTATTTACTGTGATATTCTTTCTTTCTACCTTTGTAGAAAGAGCAAGCCGTTACAGTAAGCAGTATTTACATTCTACCAGTTTGGGAGATTATAAATCAGATGGCTCTGACACGAACCCTACCTTTTCTTACTGCAGTGAGATAACAAGGCCATCTGATGAAGAAGGTACCCCTTGTTCCCACCTTTTTCACTAATGACACTACCACAGTGTGTTGAGACCTCACAGGCCTGTATTAACTCCATATCCTTGTATAGTCACAAATCGTTAGAAACTGTGTAAGCTATTGCCTGATTGATTGAGGAAGCAAAGCAAAATCTCGAGACTGCAGAGTTTCTTGCATGCCATATTGCTTTATTGTGTATTCTCTTTTACCATTTTGGTAACACTCTCAGTTTGAAAGCCCTGTTAACTCCTGTTTACAGTGGTTAAGAGAAGGTGTGTTGTGTTTTTGCAAAACGTACATGAATCTGGCTTTTTTTCTCTTGAAAGAGAAAATCTTGTTCTTTTTTCTCTGAACTGAAAAAAAAAGCCCAAAACCTTGTGCTTTTCAGTGGGCAAATCAAGTATATAATAGTATTTTAGTGACTGAAGTACTTCTCATATTAAACTATGCAGGTGCTTGTGGCTCTCTGTTTCCATCCTGAAAAAAAAAAAGTGTATCAAATGACAACTTTCTCATGTGTGAAAGTTTTCTTATACTCTCAGCATTTTGGGAGCCAGGGTTAATATTCAGCTGGGAAGCTTATATGGTCTGATATTGTTTAACATGGATTAATATTAGAATACTTTGATGAACCTGCATTCCCAGGTTCACAACTGTATCTTGCATCTGTTTGATGCCATAGATTAGAACAAAATTTATGAAAATGACGAATAAGGGTCTGGTCATCCTAGTGGCATTACAGTGTGTACTAGACTTGACTGGTGAATTGTAAATATTCAGAAACATTGCATTCTAAATATATATTTTAAAAAAATAGTGATTTTTACTTCTCAGTTGTGAAAGAAGGTGCATTGAAAAGGTTATTCACAGGGTTACTATTTTTTTTTTTTTTTTTGAAGAAGAAGGTGTTAGAGTAAAGATATTGCTACCATTTAGTTGCCTGGCATCCTTGAATTACCCGTGCTTTTAGAAGATTTTAAGGCATCTTAATTGTTGACTGCACCTGATTATGTTCTCCCACCCAGAGTAATATGTTATTATAGTAGCCAGTGTTTAGGGATTCTGTGTTGTGTTAGGTGCCATGTAAATACATTCAAGCAGCTCTGATTAAGAACAGGAGAGGAAGAAAGTGTTCAGACTGAAGAACTAACTGAACAAAGAAACAAACACAAGTCTTTGACAGAACTGTAATGCCTTCTATCATGTCTGTCCATCTTTATTTGATATTTAACTATATGCCCAACTCTTTTAATAGATGATAGCAATAATGCATATCATGCTGGTTTTTATGTCTCTTCGTGTGATGATGTGAAGTGGGCTTCATAGTCCAGTGCATCTTGTCTCTCTATGGCTGTCCTGATCTTTTTTGGCTCTATTCCAAGCCATTTTAACATTGCTTTGTCAGCTTCATTTGATTGTTAACAGATATTTTTTATTACTTGCCATATTGAGAATAGGAAATGAGCTTTATTTTCCCAGTTGTTCTGGCACTAGCAAGCTTGCTTTTTGTGTGTCTATTTAAATCTATTGTTGTGGTGATATGTTGAATAGATCCTTGCCAAGATCAACATATTTTAGAAAGATATTGTTTCTGCTTTTGACCCAGCTGGGTAGCCAGGGTTTGAGCACTTACAGACAGTTCCCATTGCAGGGGAGAAATAAATGCCAGAGCTAAGTAATTTGACATAATCCTAACGATTTACAAGAAAATGCCATTTCTGTGAACACACTCAGAAAAAAACAGCATCTTTGGGCAAAAATACCAGCCTTTTTCATGGCAGCATCCCATCCAAAATGTCGTTTAGCACGTAGCCACAACGTGAATTTGCCCTTGACCTTTATACAGTATTTCTTATGGCATACCACAGTAAATGAGAACCAAATCCATTTTGCTAAGATTTTGTGGCTGTTTCTCATGGAGTCTGTACTTTTAGATCTAGTACTGTTTCTCACTGGCAATTGTTCAATTTGATGTTCAACACCAACATGAAAGACAGTTGGAGACCTGGGACCAATTTTACAACGTCTAAGTGTCTTTGGCCTTGTCTCAATCTTTCAGATATTTCTATGTTGTTCAATTGCTAATTTATTCTAGATACCTTCACTGATATTTGACCTGTAATTCAGGTCTTCCACTGCCACTGCTGATGGATTTGTTCCTTAACCACCTCTCCCAGCCCTTAGCTGGGTCCCTGGCTTCGTACCAGATGTTAAAGGCTTATTCAGATCTAAAGAACTCTCTCTCTTGTCTTTGGGGAATTTCAGTAACAACATCACAGGGAGGCTACTAACTTTGTTCACTGGAATGACTTTTTCCTGTTTGATTCCCTGACCATTATTTTAGATGATGAGCTTGAGTTGAGCCAAGTGTGCCTCCCAGGGATCAGTAGATTTTTGCATGGTCTAAGTTCAGGAAAATCCCTGTTCTCCCTTTTAGACTGCTGGAGGTAAAACTGGATAGGAAACAATTGTTAATGCTTTCCAGCAAGCCTGATGCAGGTGATGAACTTTCATTTTGATGTTCCTTTTGAAATTACTTTTCAGTTTTGTCCTTTTTGCAGCTTCTCTCTGTTAGTGTTTTTCAAGGTTGACTTTATTACTTCATGGTATCATTGAATTTTTTTGCCATACCGGACAGAAGGCATGGCACTAGAGCTTCTCAGTCTGCTTAAATGCTTTGTAATTAATTACTGCCCTAACAAAGATTTCCTTTTTACCTGCAAGCCATTCTGTAGCACTTCCCGGAAGCAGCTGGGTGTCACATTAGTTCTTGCAAAATTCTCAGCTGTTTTTCAAGTAGTTATTTTCAGCTTGGCTAAAGAGGAACAGAAGCTAACGATTTCTCTCTTTCAATGCTGCTTTTAACACTGGTGTTGCAACTTCTCAGACATGGAGCTAGTCATGTGTTTTTGGGAAGGTTTTTCAGATTATTTTTGTCAGAAAGAGAAGTTGAGATACATGGATGTCAGATTTATTTTTGTTTATAATGACAGACCAGAAAGTTCCTTCTTCACAGAACACTGTAGGAAAAAAAACAAAGAGATAGTTTCTTTGCTTTCAGTTCAGGTCTTTCTAGACAGCATTGTGTCTGACAAATTTCTCAACTGGGTGGTTTTTTTTTTAGTTTCTTTAGAAAGTATTTTCTGTCTGTCCTGATTTTCTGTGCAGTCTTACGCACTGTTTTTCTCCCAATTCTTTTCACACTTACTCTCTTGCTCCCCTTCCTCCCCTACAAGTAAGGTCCCATCCTGTTAGTTTGCATTCAGGCACCAGGAGAAGATGATCTGGTTCATGTGGCTCAAGACCTATTCCAGTCTTGCATTATTTTGGACAGTTGTATTTGTATTTCAACTATCCACTCTATGAAGGAGATGAATTACTTTTACATGTAACTCCCATTTACATGTAATGATGGAGTTTTTGGTGTCTGATGACAGAAAAGAACACAGGTATCACCTAATTGGACTTCTTGTATTCACAGTCTCTACAGTGTTTCTCAGAAGTTGTGCTAAAGCATGTATTTTTATAAAGATATCTTCTCCTATGTTAAGGTTTCCATATAAAATTCATCTACCATCTTTTGCCAGTAACTTACTTCAGCAAGTGAAAATGGCACTTAGCTCACACCGTCATGGCTCGAGGCTGTTGTGTTTAGTTCTGTTCCCCCAAAGGCAAGAGTAAAAATGCTTGAAAATAGTACAAGTTCACAATACTGGAGACTTTTTTGGTTTTAAAGGCTTGTTATTTTAGAACACTTTCTATATATATTCTTCTCAGTAGTTCCATCTCCGGAGACTGGGGTGGGGTAAGGACTTTTTAACACGAGTGTTAATATGTGGTGTAATGTAAGATAGGGAAATGGTGTGGTGTATGATCCAGTGCCAGTCACAGAAACCAAGTTCCGTTCCTCAAAGCCGTGTGTGTGCAGGTATAGACAAAGAGTGCCAAGATAAAGTGAAGGCTGCAAGTAAACCTTTAAGGTTGGTTAATATTTTTCTTCAGGCCCATCGTTTGTAGTAAGCAAAGAAACAAAATACTACAACTGGAGGAAATTCTGGTTTAGGATTGAAATGTAAAACAATTTAAGTCTTTGAGAGCACAGAAACTTGTCCTTAGGGGAGTTGACCTTGTGTCTACAGGGGTCATTCAGCTACTACTGGAACAAATTCCAGGCTTTGCTATGATGGCAGGGAAGTGACTGTGCACATTTGTGTACTGCTAGAACAGAGTGTCCTGATGGCTGGCCAGATGATAGCAGATGAGCCATGGCATGGCTACTAAGGCTACCGTTTCTGTCACTTCTGTTTTGCATCGGTGTTTGACTCATTTTGTGGTGAAGAATTCCTCTTAATGTGTTTGGAATTAAAAGATCCATCTGCACTGAAAAAGTATCACTGTTGTTCTCATTTCACTGTTATTTATTCGTTCTCTCTCTCGCTGTCTTTTATTATGCCACAATTTGCGTGCACATTTTGTTTTCATTATACTTGCATGAAAGTGTTTTCCTTAGGGTTCCTCCTTTTGTTTTAGTTATCAAAGTCCTTTTATGCTGCTTTCCTTCAATCCTGTTTCAACTGCAGGATGTTTTCATTTCACTTTCTAATATTCTCCCTTCTCTTGGTTTTTACTTTAATTATTGTTCAATTTATTGTACCTCTGTGGGGCTTTCTGTTTAGCTCTCTCCTGTTTTTCTTTGATTTAAATCAGCAGGATTTTATTTAATATTACCAAGTTTTGCTTTCAGTCTGAAGGTTTCTACTTTAAAATTATCTTAATGAACATCCTGCAATAGATGAATTTAACTTTTTTTGTCCCCAATACACGCTTTTTTTCTTTTTAGTTGGAAACTGTTAGGTTGTTTTTTTCCCCTTTTGCTTTTGACCTTCCCTTTTTTTGTCTTCTATTTCCTCTTAATTTCTAGTTTAATTGGTATGCATCAGCATATAGACATGATATATACATTTTCCCTTACCATATGTTCAGATTTTTTCAGTGTATTAA